AATCATTTTAATTGCCCAATCTTTACCAGCCAACCTAATCAGAGTGACTATGTATCAGGAGCCCAAATTACCAAATTACCACAGGTCCTTGAGGTACATGCTCAACGTGAAGAAGGCCAATGCCTGCAGCAGGGTAGCTGAGCACTTGTTAGAATCCCTTCATCCCAACAGCACAGGCTCTAAACAATGGAGCTTCAGATAATTAATATAAGAACATTTTCCAGGGCTAAATGTAAAGAGCCACTTTGTGTTAAAGTGCCACAAAAAAGGAAATATAAGTGGTCTGATTCCATTTCTTTTCTTACAGAATCATGTATTGCTGTGACTCTCTCATTTCATGGAACTAAGAATTCTAAAAAGTCTCTCTTAAAGTAGACTTTAGAAAGGGAATTTGTCAGTAGGTTGAAGAAAATTGATAGAATCTTACACTATATATCCTGAAATACTTATTCTCTAGCTTCTTTTCTGTTTTATGAAATATTCATGAATTATATCTACTATGTGCAAGCCATCAGTTGCATTTAGAATTTTCAGGCATACATAAGAATGTAAATGGTATATTTTTATTTCCTTTTTTCTCTGACTAGCTATTATGAATATTCCTTTCTCTACCATAGATCCTTACTGAGGAAGTTAGTGTCATGTTTAGAAAATAAATGAAAATGGAATAAAAAATATTGCAGACCTAACTAATAGTGATATATTGAAAATTATATAATTGATGAAGAATGTTAAATTTTTATTTTACTGTTCTATAAAGACTGGTAACAATTAACTGAAATATAGATTGTGCTGACATGCTCAGATAGGAAATGACAATTAACTTAATCATACTACATTTTACCCATTGGACCTAAATTCTGAAAGGAATTTTGAAAGTTGTCCTTCCTAGTATTAGATAAAATGGAATATTGCAGTATTGTTATATTTCAATATTGCAATCATTTTTGTTAATAAATTTATTAAGGCTATTTTTTATATTAATATGTTATTTTCATAGGGTTTTAGCAGATATATATGTATGGTATAATAAAAAATATCATTTCTTTATTTAATGATGGAAATTGCATAAGATGGAACACATTACTTCAGTTACCAGAATACTGGCAACTCCTATCACATAAGATACTTTGTGGAAAGATGCATCGAAGTCTTTTGCTCATAAAGAGTACTATAAGAGAAAGAGTCTAGGATTGCCTAAGAAAGAAAGATGTAGAACCCAAGGAACAAACTAGCTCTACTCAGTTTATTTTCTTTTATTTATTTAATATGCACATAGTTTCCCACATTGCCCAGTCATGTTAACCTAAAATAAAAACAAAGATGCCTTTGCTTTGCCTAGATGACTAATGAGGAGCATTTCCAATGCAATAGGAAATCAATAAATGTAGGTAAACTGAGAGTGTTTCTTGTATAAATTAAATTAGTTTTTAAAATTGTGCCTTAAAAATTAGTAATAATTGTAAGCTCTGACGTCCCTTTCCACTTTTGTTCCCATTACTTTATCTTCATATTGAGGCATCAAATTCTTGTCCTTAATAAATGAAATAGTGTTGATTTATTTCAACTCAGATTTATTGAGAACATCTGGAAAATCATATACTAATACTTTATATAGACTCAAAAAAATCAGTGACTTTTTCTCTACCTGAAATATTCCACTGCACATGTTAACTCAGAAATTTCTGAAAGGAATGACCATTTTGACTGTACTATATGCAAAAATTCCATCCCATTTTGTCCCTTCATCATACAGAAAATGTCCCTTCAAAATTACTTTGCCTTGGGTGGGGATTATTGTTAGACTCTTTGCTCCATTCCCCATCGAACCACTCTATTCCAAAGAGGATTTAAGTAGAACTCCCCAGCAATATGTTGTAATTTCATTAAAGTTAGTTAGTGAAAAGGCCAGAAGTTAAAGACTAAATAAAGCAAAGAGGCACATGGATACTACTTAAAAAGAATTTTCTCTGCGAGGAAAAGAAATGCCCTTAATTCATCTCTGGTGCTGAAAGGTTGGCACAGATATCTTCTTCTGTGTTGAAGCTTTAAGTAGCTATCACAGCATTTCATAAATTTAAACTTGAATTGAAAAGCTTTACTTGTCTCCAAAAGAAAAATCATCACATATTACTTACATAGTAATTACAGGCTATGCAGCTGCCCTACAAAGCTTTACTATAAATGTGTTAAGCATGAACCACTGCACAAACCTTATTCAAATTTCATTAAATGTTAAGCCAAAGAAATGTCATCCTCCACACCAATTGCTTATACAAGAACAATAGCAATCTCCCTCTTCTGAGACCTAAATAATGTAACAGAATCAATGTTGTTGATTTAGTCTGTGGTTGGCTAAAACTCATTACTGTTATTCCTCACCAAGTAAAGAGGTCGCTTCCCCTCTCATTATGCGTAAGTGAAGCTTATGCTAATACACTAAGAGTGATTAAGCTTCTTTGAAATATCATTTAAATATTGGGAACTGAAGAAAATATACATGGCTTCTATCATGATAAGAATACTGACCTCAATTGCTATGTTGCACTCATCCTTGCTTTAAACCTTTCTAACCTAACAATTTAAGGCTTACACAGCACTTCGATTTCCCTAATATGTTAAAAAATATTTAGCTGGTCACACAAGTACTACAGTAGTGTAATACCATCAATGGGAGAATAGAAATTAACAATATGAAAATGTTTTAAAGGAAGTAAATTTTGAGTTTTCAAGCTTTTAACCTTATCTTTAGAGGGCTTAATACTACACATTCTGAAAATGTTACCTTGTGTGTATCATCTAAACTTTGAAGCAAATAAATTTGATGACACTTTGAGAATAGTGTAACAACTAAATTTGCTAGGTTTGTGACTTAATTCTTACAGTAAATTGGGAAAAATAAGCAAGTGTGAATAATTTTTACTTTCATTCAAAAGCATACACATGTTAAAATTCAGCATCATTTTACTTTATATTTTTTCGTCTTTCCCCAACTTGATCTTGTTTATAATTTTTAACTTGATAGGGTCATCTTTGGATATCATGTACCCTCAGATACAGTGTGGTTGGAATACACCTCAGCTCTGCAGCATTCTTCCTAAAACCCCATAAACTCAGGGTGGTCTTGTAAAAGCACTAGGGAAGCCAGGTTTGGGAGACATACCTGGCCAGTTCTTCTGTTCAACACTTTCAAGGTCATACAAACTGAAAACACTGATATCTGTCATAGATCAGAAAGAACTGGGAAACCTGACTACTAAATGCAACAACAAACTAAACATGATAGTCAAGTAACTAAATGAATGTTCTGAACTGGATTCTGGAGCAGAAATAAGACATTAATGAAAAATTGGTGAAATCTAAGTAATGTTTATAACAATTATGTGTCAGCATTTGTTCATTAGGTAGGACACAGATGTTAGCCAGAAGTAAAACTGGGTTCAGAGTATACTGGACCACTTTGCACTAACATTGTTTAGTCCCTAAAATTCAAAACTATTCCTCCAAAATTAAAAAATGGACAAGGCCATATACTCCTAGTAATTGAAAAGTAATCATTGGCTACACTATAGGGTAAGCTTTATTATATATAATGATGCTTTTAATCTTATGCTAACATTTAAAAATGACCCATTATGTGCTCTCAAATATGAAAACAAGTTTTTGATTATACATAAGGGATGGATAGCAGCAACTCAATTCCGTAAACTTTCCCTGCTTTTTACCTGCTCACCCACTAAAAATCATGAGAAGTCATATTCACAAACCTGTCCTGAAAGTGACATTCTTTTATATGGAAATGTCTGGCAGCAAAGTGACAAAAAACAAATGAAAAACAATAACAAAAAAGAACTGAATTTCTATGTTAATTGGACTGAAACACTAAATGAATTAAGGTTTGCCCTTGCTGTATGCCAACAGATTGCCAAGAATCTCTCACTGACTATTTAAAATGTTTGATCCACTTTCAGCCAGTTATTGATGGTATGACTTTGGAAAGAAAGTATACTATTATAGACCTAGGGGATGTACAAACATCAGATTTTGAAATGAATGCACAATTTCAGCAAAGTATGCCCAGTGGTGTCAGACACGTGGCTTCTATGGAAGCATGTTCAATTTCAATCAGTTGGGTGAAGACTGAGTTTTGGGGAGAAAAAAAACAGAAAAAATACACAGTGTGCAATTTTATTCAGAGCATGACTGTAGCAGGTGCGAAGGTTGCAATTTCAGTAGATAAGAATAGAAAAAAAGCAAAGCAAATCCTAAAGATAGAATTGCTTTTAGAGTTAAATCTTAGATGGGCAAAAAAAAAAAAAAACATGCAAATTATTTCTTAAAAGATAGTTAGTGTCTTTGGATGTTGTAAATAATTAAGAAATTGAGTTTTATTTACGGTTTGGTGAAAGAAGGATAGGGAAGTAATGAATGTCTCTAGGGAGAAATGGAAGGAGAAAAGTGGCCAGAGGTCCCTAAGGAGAAATCCCCTGTGTGGATAGTGATATCATCTATTTTCTGCCTTCTCATTGTAGATTTTCCTTTACTCCAGACCTTAAAGTCAGCTACAATCAGTAGCCTTTTGCTAGAGATTCTTGGCTACTAACAAAACAGTAGCTAGACTCCAATGTGAGTGACACATCAGGGAAACAGGGCAGCCATTGACGGAGGCAAGTGGGATTGATGGTCAAGGATTCAGCAGGAAGAGAACAGCAAACCTACCAGGGACCTTGAGAAAGAAAGCACCTCAAGAATTCTTGGTATTGGGAGATAATAGACGAAGAGAAAGACCAGGCATTAACGTGTATATTCATTGAAAAAATGACATAAAAATTTGGAGGATTTAAGCATGCATACAGTAGATATAGTGCCTGCATTAATAAACTGTACGTCTGAAAGCAATCCAAGGTACAGAATGGTTTGTTGGTGGAATTATGAATGTCTTTTTCATTGGCAATTATTCATTGATCATCAACAAATTTCCATGCACTGGATGGTCTTACCTTCCTCGTGGCAGGTCTGTTTCATCCTTTTTCCATCTCACAGTTGGTTGAGGATCTCCCTGGACTTGACAACGAAACTCTACAACTTCTTCCTCCAGCACCACCTGGTTAATTGGCCTCCTGAGAAATGTGGGTCGTTCTTGGGAAAAGAAAGAAAGGAAAAAAGAAAGTAATAGAATCAGATGAAATGTGCAGGCTTTAAGTAAGTAACGGATAAAACAAAGGAAACTTTTTTTTTCTGGCACATAGGTACCAACTCTTTCTGATAAGCCCTGATTAATCTAATGTAATCAAATAAAATGAAATATTTTTGAACACAAGAGAAAGTACAGTTTCAATATAAGATTATGCAACCTTATAAAAACATATTCTGTTTTAATGTTTCTGCCCTTTATTCTTTTGTCAGTCTATGCCTGACTCTGATCAATTATATTCCAGCTCTCCTTTACATAAAGCAATAGGAAATCACATTCTTAATCATAAGAGTCCTACCATCTAAAAGAACTGTAAAACAAATGGCAATTTAATGTATCCATAAACAGTTCTAATTCTTTTCCAGTTTCTTTAATTTTTGATAATGATTTGACATTAGAAACATCATGACAAATTTTATTAGCACAAGTCTTCCCAAATCATAGGCAAGTCCAATTTTTCTACTTATTGAAGTAGAAAGAGAACTAAGTCAATGAAAAGAAAGATGAGATCCACAGGGAACTAACACAATTTACCTGGCCATCTGGCCATAGTTAGCTACTTAGGACTTTAGTTTCAAACCTCCTATTTAGAATTATGAATATAGTGGCACAAAACTGAAACATATTTTGCAGGAAAACAAATTACTTAAAATAACATACAGTAAGTACAGACAATGGGACTATATGATTTTATTGACTAAATCATGATCCATATTTATAGAACACATGTGTAAATTGCAAGGGAAATATTCTGTTGCAAGAAAGTCAACAATCACTGACATTCAGAAGTAAGACAATTGTACCTCTCCATAGAGAATTAGACAATAGGTATCAATTTTTTCTTCAAAACACACACCTGCAGAGGGAAAAATCGGTCTTTTCTGAGATTGGGTATCAGTGGAAGGTGGGTGGGCACAAGGAAAAAAAGGAATGAGGGTGAACATGGTGGGTGTATTTCGTATCCGTATATGAAAATAGAAGAATAAAACCTGTTGAAATTGTTCTAAGAAGGGGAGAGAGAAGAAGAAGTACAGAGGGGGTAAATCAAACTAAGATATATTGCAAGCATATATGTAAAATCACAATGTCTCCCCCGTACAGCTATTACACGCTAATTAAATTTTTAAAAAAACACAGACTTACAAATGTTCCATTATATCAGTATTCTGAGACTCCAAAATTCTACGCTATAAAGCAAAGAAAATAGGATTTTATCATGGAAAGTTTTTAATGCTAAATTTACAAACAATCCATAAAAACTAGAAAAAGTCATGGTTGCTTCTAACAATTTTAAGTAACCAGAATTAATTTACAGCAAAATATTTATTCTAGACCAGAGAACAAATATGTGGGTTGGATGCAATAATTTTGTGTTACGCTTTTGAATTATAGACATTATGTGCCCAACACAGCTATTTTAAGGAAAGCATACTTGATACTGAACTGTTGTTTCTGACAGTATGTAGGCAATAGAATTAATATATTTTATGGGTGCTTAAAATGTTAATAGTACAAATGAGTCATTAGTATAGGAAGTAGGATTTTCTTTTTCTGTGCTATCAGGTAAGGCTATTCATCCCATTCTTATAAAACCTGTAATAACCCAGGTTTAAAGAGGACTAAACCACTAATGATATCATTTGAGATTGAAAAATGATTTATCAAGAGGAGATCATCTTAGCCCCCAATGATGTTAATGGGAGGATTGTACTGTAACCTGACATATGAAGGAAAAAGATGGAGCAATCTTTCCTAATGCATTCATCACTCAGCATAGGTAAATACTGTCTCTCTTATGCCTGGCTTCAAACTTGGTGACTGGTGAATAGCCAGCTGCAGGGTTTCATCAGAAAAGTGGAAGAAGATGAAGCTAGCATATAAGCATGACCATGATGGGTTTGTGTGCCATGTCCAGAATGTGAATTCTGACCTCAGGTGATAGGGAGTAGTTGAAGGATTTTGAACAATGCAGCAAGTTTTAATAAGAATATAAGAAAGGTCATAGTGACAGATTTGTGAAAGATGAAATAGAACAGAAGTATGAAGCAATGAATTAGGTCAAGGGTTATTGTGAGATATTTCAGTTTAAATTGACAGTGATTCTGGGATTATGGAAAAGGTGGTGGACTTAAGAATTTCAAAACTGATTTTTTACCCTGTGCATTCAATCAAATGCATAGGGTGAAAAAGGTAAGTCTAGAGAGAGTCTCAGCTTTCCATTTAATAAAATTTAACATGTTGGTGTATAAAATGTGCATGTGTGTACTCATGTGTGTATATGTATGGTAGTTAGAAACAAACTTCTTATGTTTAAGTCATTGTTAGTCAGTTTGTGTTAATTTAAGTGAAAATTATTTTGAATTAATACAATAAAGGAGGCTACTTATACACAAGAAAAGGAAAGAAAAAAATTATAATATCTGCACATATATCACTTGCATTAGATACATTAATAGAAGGAATCAAAAGCAATTTCATAAGTATATAATGATTTTTGTTAAATTAAATGCCAATACTTTTTAAAAGAAATAAGATATGAAAGTCATATTGATTGAAGTCAGTCACAAGAGGAACATGCCAATATTAGTAGTCAGTAAGAAAAAGAAGGTGCAAATATTGAAAAGAACAAAAATAATCATTGCTTGAAGATGCTCTACAGTACATAATAATATAGAACAATAAAGAGCTTTGATAATTGATGATTATGGTAGAATAAGTTCATAGAAGTTCAGTAATGTTATCAGTACTGGACAACAAGGAATTTTAGAAAAAATACAGCAAATGCGTGCACTGAAAATCTGTGAAGTCACTAGTGAAGTTACCTATCTCAAATGCAACATTTCCATGACATTACACGAGTGTAAAATAAATGCAAAACAGTATATGTGTATTTAGGGAAAGTTTCTGTGTGCTTCCCTTAGCATGTACCAGTCACAATACTGCAACATGTAATTAATCTAAAGAGCAAATGTTACACAAGACTAAATTTTCTCTTCCTCAAGGGGACATGGATAGGTTCCTTAAAGATTTGTTTTTTGTTATTATATGTGTTCTAAGCCTCGTTGGTTTATATGGGGCCATGTGGGAGCACCCGATTTATTATTTCGAAAAGAAGAATGATATAGGACCTCCCACTGCTGTTCTGATGAACTCAGAAGGAATAGAGAACTTCACAATGATCTTTCTTTTTGTCCTTCTGTCCTCAAGCAGAGTCCAGTTGCTTAGCAATTGGATAACCACAGAGAGGATGTGGTATACAAGTTTTGGAAGTCTGACATGGCACATGGTAGAAAATGTAATTCAATTAATAGTAAAAGATGAATGCCAAGAATAACAGAGATGAAAATCATTTGAATACACATGACATATCAAGATGAATTTGACATTGCTGTGTCATAGGTTTTGATTTCCAGCAATGTAACATGGAATTTACTAATATACAGGAGATTGTCCACAAACTTTAAAAGTAAGTATTACTCTGAGAATTTCCATACCCCCCATTCCAGTAAATATCTCTAAATTCTATTAGTTATTATCCCAATGTTTTATGTTAATTATATTAAACTCACTTTCTGCTTTATAATTTTCTTAATTGCCTACAGAAAAAATATGTTAAAAACTATGGGTTTAACTAATATGCTTTAAATTTAAGGAAAATTTTTGTAAAGAATTGTTTTCTACTTTCATTAGGCAGGCTTTATTTCATAAAATCTGAGAATCAGAAACAAATATTAAAGACTAAAGAAGTTGTACAAATGGAAAAAAAAACACTTCAATGCTTTGCATTTTCAGCAGGTCCTGTTATCATAAGCCAACTATAAGCCAAACTCCTTTTAGACATAATTGCAAAAGCTACAAGAAAGTGTCTTGCTGCAAAGAAATGGAAAATTAGGAAGGTGAGAAACTAAGTTGATAATGGAACAATCTAGTAAATTGGTAAGTAGAACATTCAATACCCATTAATGTCCATGAAGCTTATACTCATGAGCTCTGTATAATTAAGAGATATATATGAAAATCTTGATCTACTGAACAACAAGCAAACTTAATTTTAAAACATGTCAAAATAAGGTCACAGATTTTTTCCACGGTATCACCTTATGTCTGACCACATACTAAAAAAAAAGGGGAGAAATCTCAGGGGCTCTAGACAAATTGCTTATCAATTACAATAGAGTTACTCTGCATGGGCTGATCCCTAATTATATAGCTGTGGAGTGATCAGAGGCAATGTTTTTGCCAATGCAATGAACACTTTTTTTTCTGTGAGATTAACTGAATTTGAATCACCTGTATAACTTGCTTAGGAGGTTAATCTCCCTTGAGATAGTAGTGTTGTTTGCCAGTGTGTTACTTTGTAAAGTACAGCTCTCGAGCAGTGCTGTCTATTTAGTTCCAAATTGGCATTCTGCAAAATCCAACCTTACATACAGCTATAATAAAATAAAATGCCAAGTCTCATTGTAGTTTTGTCAACATTATTAGAAAGCAAAATGTTCAATTTAATGCAAACTACTGTAAACCCAAATTGTACTTACATAACATCTCTTAAGTTTCTTATTTTATATACAATGAAGGAAACTATTACCCACATAAAAAAGTTTCTTTTCAACTATATGCAGTCATTGAAAATGGTTGTAAAGTTGCCAATGGCTGTGCCATGACAGCTATTTCTAGAGTGACTGTAGCAATTTTAAAATAAACTTCACTTGATGCTATAAAAGTAGTGTTGTGGCAATAATTGTACAGGAAGAGTCCTTTCAGTCTTGTAAGAACAAAACTATGCAATAAAAAGACATTAGAGGTAACCACAGCTTGTAAACCTTGTCATGACTTCAGCAGCTCCAGCAAGACCTGCCACACTGCAGTCTATTAAACGAGGAAGTCAGATAGCTGGCCCAGCAGGTCTCCTTTTGCTTAACTCGGCATATATGCAGAGGGGGAATTTTCTTTATCTGAGGGAAATCACACTAGGAAGCAAAGACCAACACAAGTAAATGTTCACAAAGGAAAAAATTGCCTCTGTCATCATATTTTAGAAGCAACATTTATGTTACTTCTGATATTACAAGAATGTCCACTTGAAAACATGCATCCTGTCTATTCACCTTACCAGTCAGTATGTTGAAGTATTTAAACAGGGTTTAGCACATAGTAGGTGTTCGAGAAATATACTCAAGAAAAAACTATTGCTCCTAAATCCATATTAATAATTAAGAACACCATATATTTTCAATTCTTACATGAAACTTACAGAATATTACATAAATATTCCTTAAAGTTTGGTTTGAGATATCCTCCTTCATAATTTTATCTCTGTATATCTCAGCTGCTCTCTATCAATGGTTATCTCTCACCCAAATACTAAAATCAACATCATCAGCCCTGGTCTCAAGTGGCTAGTTCACAGCAAGAACAGTAAAAAAAAAAAAAAAAAAAAAAAAAATCCATCAACTGGCCAAAGTTTACAATCATATTTTTAGTAAATAGCAATGAAATATAAACGAACAATAGTCCACATGTTATTTGAAGAAAGTTTTCCATGTGTAGTAGACCAAACAATGCAGGGAGGAGGTGGCAGGCAGCAAAGAAGCAGGGGAAATATTGGTAGGGCAGCATCCCAAACACATAACTTTTAAAAAATGTTATTAAAATTGTGTGAGATAAAAGAAGTGAAAATATACCTGAAAAAAAGAACAGGATGTTATCAACAGAAAGAATTAAACAAAATAAATATTTATAAATTTTAACATCTAATTAACAAATACATGTTTGATAGAGACACGGAATAGAAAGAACAGAGAAAATTTCATTGAGTTTGTTTTAGCCAGGTAATTTTGGACTGATTGAGATTGCTCACCCTGAGTATCGACAGGAAAATTAAAAAGTGCTGAATCCAGGCACAGAATTAAAACATTTCTGAACACTGGAATATAGAGATAGTACTAAACGTTTGGAAAAAAAAAAAAGACCTGAAAAGAAAACTGATTATATATACATATACTCTTAGCAAAAAAAAAGAAAGAAGGAAGGAAAGAAATTACACTATAATTCTGTAACTTAAATTCTGGATAGAATAATAGCAATTTGTTTTGGAATGTGCTCCAGGCTCTAGCCAAGCAGAAAGTAAGAGAGAAACACTTCTGAATAGATGAATTAACCAATCAAAAAACAATTACAGTATGAAGGAAATAGATAATCCAGAATTAAAGAAAAAACATCAGGACAGAGGTTTCCTGAGCAACTTGAAACCATATCCAACCCAGTTAGGTTGGGCAGAAGATCTGTGATCTCCAGGTGGGTCATAATGAGAGGACACGTAATAAGTAATGTGTATTTTAAAATGTAGACGATTTTAAAATTTCTATTAGGAAGGTATAGAATTCATGACATGTACAGACAAAACTAAGTAAATACGAAAAATGGATTTATTATTAATTCACATAAAACCATATAATGCCAGGAGAGAAACGTAACCATAACTGTATAATATTCAGCTCACAGTTGATAACACTTACATGATTATAATAACACAAATATTTGAATTTTAACATAATCAATGTTTCTAAAGTGAGTATACTGGAAATAAGGAAAAAAGGAAACTGAAAGTATGAAGGTGGATTAAGTAAGGTATAAGTGGACCAAATTATTATAATAGTGAGTACTTGTGTATGTGTTGGAGAAGTAGGGGCAAGATATTTCTATATTTCATTATAGTTTTTAACACAATACATATTGTCATTGTTATGCAAAAAAATCTGTTTTCATGCATTATTTTGACAAACATTTAAAAATCGGGAAAAATTTACATGATTTTCCTTTGTTTTTTAAAAAACAGTTAAAATAAAACTTAGAAATTTAGTTATGTATTTCAATTCAAGTTTTTCTGACTTTAGTGTCTTTAATCCTTAACATATTTAAACTGCAGGGGAAGGTGTTCTTTATGGAAGTATCTAGAATAGCTGTAGATTTTAGTGTTATTTTAAATCATGCTATTAAAATACAATTTTTATATTTTATCATGCCCACTTAACCAGAATACTGTTTCATGAACAGAAAATATTGCAGAAGGACAAACACAAGAACTGGTTCATGAAGTATGATAGTAAAACTTTTTGAAACTACATCGCTCATGGGTTTGTCAAAAGGGCACATTTTTAAGATCTAAAGTAAAAATTCAAACTATAACATGTTTCTAAGTCCATGCATATTTACTAAATCAAAATCATTGAAGAATGGAGAATTTCTTTTTCTCAGAAATACTTTTCAGAAAGTGCATGGCTTGTATAGGAAAAGAACTTTTATTCCTTTCTGGTTATTCTTGTCATTAATAAGTGAATTACATATCTCGAATAACGAAATAACATCAAGTACTTTTTTCCATAGAACATATCTTAAAGATTAAGTTGCAAAGGATATTTTAAGACTTACAATAGCTACAAAGCTGTTATAGTAGCCAGATAGTTTAAAGTGGAATTGTTTTGACATAAAAATAAAATTGTGGAGGTGGATTGTCCAATGTAATCAAGTTTATAAGCATTAGATCAGAAATGATAATATTTAACCATGAAAAAATAAAGAAGTTTATTTAAAAACATGTCCTGGATGTAAAAGCCAGAAAATGAAATAAAAGAAGACTCATCATGAACAGAACACCATTTTATGTTGTTTAAGAAGGGAGAGCACATACGGGAGGTATGGGGATAGGTAGGAAACCCAAAACAGAAAAGTGTTTGATATCCCCACTGCAGAGGAATTAATACAGAAACTTTAAAGTGACAGAGTTCAGTATGGGAAGGGGATGGGGAACCAGTGAAAAGGTGAAGTAGAGATGAATCAACTTGGGTTGTAACACATTTGTACATGGAAGCAATGTTAGGAATCTCTCTGTATAGCTATCCTTATTTCAACTAGCAAAAACACTTTTTTTTTCTTATTATTGCTTATGTCTTCTCTTCAACAAAATTAGAGATAAGGGCAGAACAGGTTCTGCCTGGAAGCAAGGGGGGAGTGGGAGGGAGGGGGTGGGGGGGTAGAATGACCCAAACAATGTATGCACAAGTGAATAAATGAATAAACAAATTTTTAAAAATTAGAAAAAAAAAAAGAAGGAAGTACAAATCCCAAAGTTCAAACCCCATTGCCACCAAAGAAAAGGAAGTAAAGATGATAGTTTTTAACTAAAAAAAAAAATGAGTAGAAAGTCAAGGCACAGAAAAGCTCTCACACAATTCTTGTCACATCCTTAATATGAGTCATCACTTTTGTATTCTATTTTTTCTGAGTTTGGATGTTGTTTGTTATCAATGATGGAACTGTAGTTTTACCCTCAACTTAATATTGTACTTATAACCCCTCAGGTCAGTTCTGACTAGTTTACACCAGTAGATAAACATTTCTTAGCTTCCTAAATCAATTCTTCCAGAGGAACTGCCTCTGGACAAATTCAATGTCTTCAGTTGATAGCTATTTTAAACTAATTTAGAAGTTTCCCAGTAACTCTTGGCATGTTTAGGGGTCTCCTGCCATTCTTAAAATGTCTTTAGGGGAAGTAGGGTAAATATTTCATAATATAAACACATTATTTGTAAGTTTAATTGCTTGGGTAATGATGTTAAACCCTTTTGATTTCCTTCTGAAGTCTACACTGCTAAAATGCAGTGTTTTTCTACTCCAAAGCCTGTGGTAATTATAGAAAAAACAGCAATGAGTGTTTCTTTAAATAGAAAGCTATACTTGGAGGCTTTCACTGCTAATGTTCAGTGACCACTAATTTCACAGTTTACCAGGCAAAACTGTATTTTATTCATTACAGTGTAGAGCACATTTTGAGACTCTTAGAGATGACTGAATACAACTTAGAATAAAACTGATAGTTGTCTGAGCTCTGCAGGACAGAAATTTACATCTGTACTTTGAACAATTTTATTTTTACTATTTAATTCCTTTAATGAATTATGGGATTTCTCTTGGCTTTGTCATTTGGGACTTCAAGCTGCTTAATATCCACAGGGAGTATTAGCAGAGATTACTTGGAATTCAGAGAGATTGAAAAGAGAGGTATGCACTCTGGTACATATTGATAAAACACAACCTTAACCCTGAAAATATAATGGAAATCACAATATGTCTCCTTCCATTATGGCACTCCTATTACACCATGGGTTGGTACCTTACAAGCTGCAAAAGGAGCTCCTTCAGGGACCTATGCAGGAATTTGATGCTAAATTTGTATAAGTCCTGGAGTAATAACCATTAATAAGGATCAGAATTAGGTGATTAATTTATTGCCACAGAAAAATATTTTGAATATTAGAATAATCTTTTACACCTTAAAAAAATCACATAATATCTACAGAAGGGAAAATTTTTATTAAGGTACCTTTATTCACATATCTATCTATAGGTATGTATGTGTGTGTATATATATATATATACATGTCTAAATATATGTGTGCATACATATCTATTTATATATATGTATATATAACTAATACTTGATAAAATCATCACAGTGTAAAGAGTGATAAACTTTAGAGGGATGTATTATCTCAAAGGCACTTAGAATTAGCATTTTTGTGCATTTTTATAAAAGGAATACTCTGATTAATACATGAAAGACATAGATGGATTGATGTTTCAATTTTTTTTTCTTAACATAAGAGTTTTCATCAGAAAGACAAAAAATCTAATCATTATTATGATAGGTAATAAGTCCATATTTGGGCTTTATTTTATAGCTAAAAATGTCAAATTCAAAGGAAAAGTAGTCATAAATAGCAATTGGTAATTCAAAAGAGAGTTTTACCAAAGACAGTCAGCTCTGCTGGGTCACTGTCTCTTTCTCCCACCATATTGGTGCCAACACAGGTATACATTCCTGCATCACTTTTCCTGGTATTGGAGATCATCAGTTTCCCACCACGAATCTGTTAAAATTAAACCAAAGGGAAAAAAAGGAAGAAAGGACCACTAATTAAAAATTATGCATACTTTTCCACAACATTCTCTTTGCAGAAGAAAACAGTTGTGTCTAAGACACAAAACTCTCCCAGTATTTCGGCATCTGTGTGTGTGTTTTCTTTTCTTAATTCAACCTCAGTGTAAGTCTTGATACTCCCTTCTTAGGGAATGCTTCTGTAAAGCAGCCTTCTTCTCTCTTGCTTAATCATTTTTTGAAACTTGTGACATGACAGTCTCCACTAAATTCCAGGGGTTTATCTTTACATTGAGATTCTGTGGAATGAATTGCTATTGCCATTTGTCATCAAAAAGCAACACTAGATGTCTGCTTTGGATAATATAATGAAATCCAGCTGACTTAGAGGGTTGGTTCACCAAGTATTTATTGAGAACCTGTAAGGCCCAAGATATAGTAACAAGCTAAATAATGAAAATCATGGCTTTCTGGACCTTACATTCCAATTGCTAGTGTTAACCATATTGTCTAATCTTGTTTGTATTTAAGAAAGCACTCTGGGTCAAAGTATTTAAGAAATGATTTTTGGTGAGGAGGGCAGGTTAGATAAAAAAAATTGAAATTTAAAGAATGATGAGTACAAATTGATATAGATCATTCATGTTTAATAAGTATGCCATAAATATTTCTCAAATGAGAATCATTTGCTGACTAAATGAGCAAATGCAGTATTAAAATGTCTGTTTGCAAAGACAATATTAAATCAGAATTAGGTTGTCAGAAAGTGTCATTACTCGTACTTTTCCCTAGTATTTTCCCCCTTTTTGGTATTAATCTACTTCAAACAATTTTAACTCTATCATGATTAACTGTTCTCACAAAGAAACATGAATTTAAAATTGTGGTTTCCTCTATCATTATTTAATTTTATAAGTAAACAAAACTCATGAAGGTTTTTTCTTATCATAGATAGTTCAAGCTCTTAAATTTGTTGTGTCATAGAAAGAGATTTTCAACTCTTTATATATATTATATATATATATATATAATATATATAAAGAAAAACCCATTAATCTGTCCTCACTTATATCAATTATGGTAGCTTGGTAGGTTATAAAAATCATCATAAAGGTGATTTCTCTTCATCTTGAAGCAGAGCCTGGCATTAACCTTGATTTGACCAATGAAACTAAAAGCAAATGTTTCAACAGAAAAGAAAGCAAAAAACAAACAAAAACCATGTTTGCGTATTGGGACTTGTCTTCTCTGGCTTATCATAGGATCCCTAAGACCATAGAACCAGCCTGAATTTACCTGCTGGAGAATTAGAGATCATGAGAAAGAGAACTGATATATCCATCTGAGAGTCAACTAATTTCCACACAAGGTCATTTTAGATCAGTCAACTACCAGCACACCTTTAAACAACTTATCAAAGGATGAGAAAGTCTATCAGAGATCAAACAAGCTAACTCTGAGTAGACTATCAGCTTTCCTGTAGAATCATGTTCTAAATATTTTCTTTTAATAAGGTACTAAATTTGTTTGTTACAAAGCAAAACTCAAATAGCCCATTTTCAAAAGTCTGGTACCTAACACACCATTAAAAACTAAATAACAGTGTAGATCTTCACAGTGCTAACAGTAAAGCCAGAAACTTATGAATATTTATGATCTCTTACATAACTTACCAGTTCTGTGTTATGTTGTAATTTAAATGGGCACATGGGAGAAATTCTCATTTGTAATAAATATTTTTAAAGGTAACATTAAAATTTTGTGAACTTTTGATTGAAATGACACATAGGTCCAGTCAAATGAAACATTGTTTTAAATAAAATACATTTGTTCTTAGCCATTGTAGTGAATCTAAAAATGTGTCCTACTAAGTAATATCAAAAGATATATTCTATTTCACTGGACGTGTTCTCCTTTATATATTTCACCTACAAATATTAAGTGAACTGTCTTAAAATGTAAAATGATTACATGCCATTTCTTACACTACACCTTAATAGTTTCTTTTTTTAATTTTTGTTTTTAATTATTCATTTATTCACATGTGCATACATCATTTGGGTCATTTCCCCCCTCCCCCCCTCCCCCACCGTCTTTCCCCCTCCTCTTCTTGATAACACATTTTGAATCTTAAGTGATGAATCTGATTAATTTCCTTTGGCAACAGAATATTTTCTATATGAGATAAACTGAAGAATCAATCATTTTTATTTATTTCAATTGTATCTTTTAAATCTCCTGCTCTTATAAGTAGTATTTAGGTAGAAAAACTGGAAAAGTATAGCATGTTTATCACTTCAGATGTTTCCTCTTACAATGTTGAAAATGGTGCCGACTGAGATGTAGTGAACATGCTTTATGGCTATCATTTACACTTTCATGTGCAAAGTATAAAAGAGCAAAAGAAGTTTTTGAAGGGCTAAAACATTGATATCACACCACAAGGATGCATATACAAATTCAAATTTGCACAATTATTAATATATCATGTACACTTGATTTGTATAATTTTTGCTTTTAACTCCTTTCAATATGGTATAAATGATAATTAACATTTAAATACAATTTTATTAATAATATGTTAAGGAATAAAAAATATCCACTTTTAGCTGTGAAATTCAATCACTTTAGTTCTTCATTGTAATTTTACTCACACTTATTCTTTCCTCCTTGTCATCAATTCGAACTTTGTCTTTTTTCCAGTAGATGGTGGGTTCGGGGTGTCCCCGTGGAGGCTGGCATTCTAGAATTGCAGGCTCTCCAGCTGCGACTACTACATCTGTAGGGTTTTGCCGGAAGTCATCTCTCAACACTGAAGAAAAATAATTGTATGAAAAAAAAACCTTAATGACAGTAACTTTAGTTTTCTCTTGCCTTTGCAACTTCAAGTCTGTTCTGGTAACAACAACAACAACAAAAACCTGGATATTTACAGGGAAAATAGCCAGGCCCATCTTAAAATATTTTAGGTCCAACCTAAATGCCCATCAGTAGGAGAACAGCTGATTGTATCACTGCTACCTTTGCTCTAGAATCCACTACTAAAAGTGAAGTGAGTCTAAGGGAAATAAAAGGAAATATTTATGGCATAGTTTTGAGATTTAACTACAAAGCAAGATATGGAAGAATCCATATAGTATGATTCTATTTTCTATAAAAAAAACCCATACATATAAATATATTCAAATAGATGTTAAAGATGAACTAAAACCTGATGCAAGCCATGAGCACATGGTTTGAGAGCATATGTGTGTGTCGGTCTGTGAGGGGGACTGTAGTGAGAGCTCTGAGAAAGGCCTTTCTCATGACACGAATATGGACAAGATCCGCACTTCAGCAGACAAACTCATTGTTCACCCTTGTAACGCACTAGCACCCACATACACAGGGCCGCATTTTCATTCTCTCTATCTCCACCTGCCAAGTGACATCTGTGCAGCGTGACATCGAGAGCAGAGATGTCCCTTATAGCAGTTTTGCCAGTCTGAATTTCCCCTCCTCTCATTAAGGAGAACAGCAGGTTGAACCTCCGCTGTAACCTCTGAAAATCTGGCATGTATGGCTTTCCAAATGTCACCTACCTGTCAGCGTGTGCTTTTCAGCTGCTGGCAAGATAAAAGTCTAGACTGCAAAAAGCTGGGTTTATTTAACAAACATAGATGTGACTATTTTAGGACAAATATGCAAAATGTAGTTGAGGCTAGCTCATGTACCATGTGCCTCAACCAAACTCACTTTTGCCAACTGCATCTCCTTTTCCTATTCTTTGATATTCCAACATTGGCAAGTTTTATTTTAAAGTATGTAAGTTTAAAGCAAATACATATTTGTACATGCATGAATTGTATATACACTATATATACACACATATATGTTTGTGTGTTCGTGTGTGTTTATGCATATATGTATATATGTGTACACGGATTTATACTGGGATATATGTGTACATGCATATATATGCTGTCTGCAGTCAACATTAGGCAGCTTGAGGTGGTGTGTAATGTAAATCACCTGCTGCAAATTTGGATTAGGTCAAACCAACTACCTTCCTTGGCCTGTAATGAGACCCACTTCAGCACTCCGCTCCCTTGTTGTGCCGAGTCTCAAGGTTAATTGTCATTCTCCAAGTAAATAAAAATCTCTGTCCTGAAAATAGCTCCAGAGAGACAACTGAGTGACTTTCTAGGCTTTTTTTCTTGTCTCTTGCAACACATCCTTTAATACAGTTTTCCATGTTAATGAAGTCATGGCCCTTTTCCAGATTAGAGAAACTTATTTCCTACTGAAGGAGCAGTAAGAAAGCATTCAGCACAAATTGTTCACTCTCAGCTTATACACTGATTAATTTACTGCTTTAACTGCTAAGGAAATTTGTTCCATGTTAGCACCCAGAGCTGCACATTTTTAGTCCCCTTGTCTAACTAGCAAGAAAGGTGTGACTCATATACATAAGGGTTTGCTTCTAAGTGAGCTGAGGGAAATGTGCATTTAAATGTGACATTGATGCAAGCTATAAGAAAGTATTAACACTGTGGTTTCCTCTTGCAGGTATATTCTCTAGGGAGACCAAGCTGGGGATTAATTCATATTCTAAATACAGAACAGCTGCCTATTTACACAATGTTAAGAAGTGCAAAAATATGGTAACAGGGTGATGAACCCCCCTACAATATCCGGTACTGGCAACAAATGTGTTTTGGCAGACCCTTAATCTGTTCCAAAAGGGTACATCTGGCCAGTTGAAGGACCTTCCCCAGATCTTATCCCTAACAAATGATATGCCAAAAAGCCTTAGCTCAAGTGCTATTCAAGACCAACAGGAATCATTCAGAGATGCAATGTTACACTGATTTACAACAATCCAAAAATGTTTTTTAAAGGCCCTTTGACATGGAGAACGAAAAAAAGAAAAACATCATAACAAACTGTAAGGACTGCTACTTTTAAACAATGTAACATGTGTTTATGCATTCAGAGAAAAAGGGAAAATGACTCCAATTTGCACACGAAGCCAAGAAATCTAACATCAACTGTAATTTTAGGCTTTCAGACTATTCAGTCAGAGAGTAGGGTGAGATAATGGTATAATTGGTACTATACCCTCTTCAAATTGTAATATGCTCTTTGGGGTTTGTATATAACTCAGCTAACTCATTGGTGCCTAGTGATACCATTTCATTTATACCGAGTCTTTGGGTAAAATGTGTTTCTTTACTTTCACTCAAATAAAACCTTTAACAAAAAAGTAAAATGATAGGATGTCAGTTTTGAGATTAGATTGTAAAAGGTTGTGACTTTTATTTCTTAGCTCTCTGTGTCTCTCATCAAATGGAGAGGTCCACTGGTGGGGATCTGAGAGCAACTTCCAGCCAGCCTTCAGCAAGAAACTGTGATGACCTCAGAGCAACAACCCTTGAGGACCCAAATCACCACCAAATTTTGTGGCAATTTATATAAAGCAATGCGTAAACACTATACTGCCCCAAACAAACTTTATATCTAGTTGTGATTTTAGATCTTACATCTTTGACTTCTGCTTTCTCATAACTCCATTATTTCACATACTAAACTTCCTCCTGTCCTAAAGACTCGTCTTTATTTTGTTAACCTCAGTTGAAGGTAGTCATTACTTAGACATTTCCATCTTAGTGTATTAATATAAATTAGCAATAATAATAAAGTGAAAGTATACAATAAATGGATTTCTGAACAATGCATTTATGAACCACAGTGTATACAAGCATTCAAGAAAAGTTATTAGAAATGTAAAGCCTGAAAACATTATTGGTACATGTATTATGTACACCATTGAATAAAGAAGCAATGTTAAACAAACTAAATCGATCATGAGAAAGGTAATCTAAAAAGGAATTAAATAAGTTTGACTAGCAGCAGTTGAAAACCCAAGGCAACTAAGAGGATTCTGAACAAAAGGTTCCTGTAAATGTGTCTGAGCTGTGGGAGCTGGTGGCACAGCCACATCTGGGTTTTTCAGTGGAAAACTCAAGCAGATACTTATCTGGTGCACATGTTAGCTTATTAATACAAGACTTCAGCAAATCACAATACTTTGAAAGTTATTCAGGAATTTTTGGTCTTGTATAAGGATAATACATGAAATTATGTGATTGTCTTCTATAAGAATTTGGTTTTTCCATTTGCATACATGTGTTCATAGTATTTATGACATGTTCAACTTTCTACACACTCCCCCACATTCCCCCCTCACTGGTAGCAAACCCCCAGATAGCACCTGTTCTCCAATTTTTTAAAAGAAAATAATGACATTTTTGTTTGTTTAAGATAGCTATACAAGGAGTTTCTATGTGACATTTCCATGCATATCTCTATTATAACCTGAATTGGTTCATCTCTATTTTTTTCCTTTCTACTTTAGTCCCCTTCTTATGATTATTTCAACAGGTTTAAAAATTCTATATTCATTATTGTATAGAGAGTACATTAACCATATTCACCTTCTTAATTTTTTGTTTCACTCTCCCTCTCCCATTAGTGATCTCCCCTTAGCATGACCTATTTTTCATAATATCGCTTGTATTTGTATTAGGTCTATATTTCACATATGAGAGAAGACATGCAGCCTTTGGCTATCTGATCCAGGCTAACTTCACTTAAGATGATGTTCACCAGTTGCATCCATTTACCTGTAAATGACAAAATTTCATTCTTCTTTATGGCTGAATGTATGTAAATGGAAAAATTAAACTTGCTGAAACTATTCCAGGAATGGGGATGGAAGGCATAAAGGAAACTGATAAAGGAAGTGAATTTAACTATGATATACTTGATATATTGTAGGAACTTTTATAAATGTCACAATGCAGTCCCAGCACAACAATAATAATAATTAAATAAACAAATAAATAAATGCAATTTGTTTTTTGATGCTGGGAATTGAAACCAGAGTTTTGCATAGGTTAAGCATATGCTCTATCACAGTGCTACAATCCAGTACCTAGAACTTATTTTATGTTTGTTTGAAAGCTGATTTTTCATTTAGTTAGCAAGTATACATGAAGATAATTTTGATCTCTATTTTAAAAATAACAATCCTAGGGTGAAGGTGTGGTTCAAACCCCAGCTCTTGCCTAGTGAGCACAAGGTCCTGAGTTCATACCCCAGTAATTTTAAAAGACAAAACAAAATAATATAACTACTCTATTGTAATAAGTAATGTTTTCTAACTACACATCATGTGTCAAAGATGGCATCACTGGCACCTAATAGGTTACTTGAACATTTTCTATTGTGTTAGATAACTATAGGGTTTGAACTCAGTGTGCTTAAAACTAAAATCTCAAATAACCATATGCTACACTGATTTGCAACATGATCTGCTTCTACTGACCTAGATCAGAATACTTTTATAAAACTTCTTTAACTCACTGCAAAATATCCTACTTGAATTTTTTTTCTCTTCCTGAAACAATTGTGAGTTTTCTAAAATGAAAACATGATGATGTCAATCCTTTTTCACATTTTTAGTGGCTAATATAAAAGTATATCTTTAATATGACTTCATATATTGTTTAGAATTGGGTACCTACTTATATCACCAGGTTTATCACAGACATTTCCATAACCTACATAGACCAGACATACAGAAGAACAATAAATTATCACTGCACATTTGTATATAATGATTTTTCTGCCTGAAAACAACCCTCAGCTCTCTTTTTGCTCACTTAGACTTGCTTATTCTTTTTTCAAATGTGTCCTGATTCTTCAGTATCAGCTTCCAACTCACTTGAAAAGTCTTCTTTATACACTTAAACTGTACTAAGTCGCTTT